GTTGTCTTCTCTTATTTTTTTTCAGTTCACTTCTGCAATTTGTCAGTATTTACGTGCTATCTCTATGTACACTGCATTGTGCTATGACTAATGGATTTTATACACCCTTTCAGTCCTTAAGAAACCCAGAAAAATAAAATAAATCTTTCTTTGGGGCAGTAATAGACTGCCTTTTAGGATGGCCAAACTTGTTTTTATTTTTATTTTTTTATTTTAACTATTATTTCCTTATACTACAGTACTTTCTTTTCCCGTTCACGTCTATATCTCTTGGTGCTATCACTGTGTACACTGTATCTCCCTGTGAATGGTGTATTGTAGGCACAGTTTCAGTCCATGAGAAAACACACAAGCAAAATTTTTGACCAAATATACTTTTCTCTCAGAATTGGAATTTAAGAGGTTTAACTAATTAGGTACATACAGAATAACACACACACCTAAATCTCACCTTGGAAACCCATAGCTGGCGAGTAATTAACATTGTGAACCTTGGTATTTTTTTCATTACCAGTTGGGATCAGGAGACTTTATGGAGAGATGAGTGATCCAGAGACCATTAGCCTGGTCCAGGGGTCAGCAGTCTGTTGGTCTTAGGACCAGTATTAATCTGGTTTAGGGACCCCCCTTTATTTTTCTAAATTAGTGTAATGTCTGAAATGTTTAGCCTACCGGTAATTATAGGTCAAGGATAAGTTGTCCTAATTTATTTAGTATGGATCAGGAAGCTAATTCTAGGACTGTAGTTAGCCTGATTAAAACTGCACAGCTTGTTACCTCAAAATACCATGTGCATTGGGTATGTGTGGCCTCCCTCACAGGTTCACTGTCAAATCTCTCATCTGGAAGTTTTTGACCAGAGAACTGGAAGAGAATTCTCTCTGGAGGAAAGAACTTCAGATGACCCTTACCTCTTAGCTCAGAGATCAGGTTATTTTGCTAGGAGGTGCCTTTTGCTTGGACCAGCATTAGTTGTGCAGAGAGGTGCTGGTAGCCTAAGGGATGGTCGTGCACCAACTAGTGTTTAATAAAGTCATCATACAAATTTATATTTGTTCATCATGTACTACAAATACACAATGTAAGTCCACTAAACCAAGGATAATTTAGGAAGGACATCCAAAGATTATTTCCATTAAAGTATGGGATAAATAAATCGTTAGTCATTAAAATTACCATCCAAGTTCACATTGGCTCTTCTTGTTAATAACTTACAGGGTTCAGTTTAACACAGATAGGCTCATCATATATTTTAATAAAGTACAGGTATCCCCCAAGATACTTACAGTATGTCCAATAAATGAACAATCATTATTACAAAAATATCAGTTTGACTTTACAAATTCCCCTCAGTCACAGGGTCAGTATAGCCCAGTGGTGCATTGGCACTATTGCAGAATGTTGGTTGTGTTTAATGTATTTATTATTTTACAAGAATTATATTGGTGAAAAACCCACCAGTTGACTGATTTTTCCCTCCCAGAACATAATACAAGAGTTGTACCATTCAATATGTTTTTTAACTTAGAACCCTTAGTGCTATACAGTATGTTAGAGGATACCTGTACATGTAAATTAATGTACAGTACTGTAGGTTCACCTGTTGGGGAAGTGAAGGCAGTGTTAATCACAAGGTTCAGTATACAGTACACTGCTCTTAATGGACCATCATGCTTGTGTGGATTAACCAAACACTACTTAACAAAGTTCATTTAAGTTGTAGTGGAAAAATAATTAATTTGCAGAACTTGACATGAAGTATTTATGAAAAATGATTCAATGTGTACATAATGTGAGGTGCCTGGTGGAAGAGTGATGTATGTGCCAAGACCACAAGCAAGGTTAAAGTTTGTTTACACTGTATCCCACCACACTTATAGTTTTATACTGTATATCCTCTGGCAACTGTTGAAACAAACATCTTGCTTGACCACTAACTCGCTTCCACCGAGTGCCTCATACATTTGTGTTTTTCACAACTGTATTGTACTATATTGTATTGTACTATATTATATTGTACTGTACTATATTGTATTGTACTGTACTATATTACTGTATATTGTATTGTACTGTACTATATTACTGTATATTGTATTGTACTGTACTGTACTATATTGTACTGTACTGTACTATATTGTACTGTACTGTACTATATTGTATTGTACCATACTGTACTATATTGTATTGTACTGTACTATATTGTATTGTATTGTACTATATTGTACTGTACTGTACTATATTGTATTGTACTATATTATATTGTACTGTACCATACTGTACTATATTGTATTGTACTGTACTATATTGTATTGTACTGCACTGTACTATAATGTACTGTACTGTGTTTTATTGTACTGTATTGTACTATATTGTATTGTATTATATTATACTGTACTATATTGTACTGTACTGTGCTATATTGTACTGTACTATATTGTATTGTACTGTACTATATTCTATTGTACTGTACTATATTATACTGTACTGTTCTATATTGTTTTGTAGTATATTGTATTGTGCTGTACTTTATTATACTGTACTATATTGTATTGTACTATATTCTATTGTAGTGTATTGTACTATGCTGTGCTGTACTATATTTTATTGTACTGTACTATACTGTATTTTATTGTACTGTTCTGTATTATACTGTTGGGTACTGTACAGCCACTCCTTGACTTACGAGAGGGTTAGGGACCCAAATCCAGGTCGAAAATGCTAAGATACGTAGAAAATCTAAAATGGGTGTCTCTTTTTCTTCTCAGCACCACAAAACTCTCATTTTTAAGCATGCCAACCATTTTGAAGGGAATTACAAACGAAAATTTTGTCAGTACACAGCGCAATCACTAAAGTCGGGACTCAAAAATACGTAATTTGAAAAAAAATTTGGTACGACCGAGGCGGTTGTATGTCCAGTAGGTCGTAATTCGAGGAGTAGCTGTATATTGTAGCCTTGAAGTGTACCAACTATATAGTCCTTGGTACCAGAATTGTGCATTTTATGTACCAAGGCTATATAGTCTTGCATGCCTAGAAGTGCTCATTTTGTGTACCTACAGTAGACTGTATAGCCTTGGTGCACTTTTACTAATACTACTTTTTTTTCTTCACCTTTATAGTTTTTTGTTTCACTTCAGTTAATTAAATTATTATTATTAAAGTAGTTTTGAAGAAGATTACAGGGGGCCCCCAATTTACGAACAGGTTCCGTTCCTTGTGACATTCTTTTTCGGATTTGTACTTAGGTCGGAACACGCGCCATGAGCATACCATACTTACAGAACAATGTTTAAAATCACACTATATCACAGCCTAAGTCCTTATATACATCTAAAATCAATTAATTTAAGACAAAAGCGAAATAGATTGACAATACAGTAAATGAAAGTAAAAATTATAATTTGATGATATATTGTAAATTTCATGTTTAACACCGTTCATATCGGCGGGGACTCCCTGTACTTTCTACAAGTTTTAATTTTTACATAGTAACAGTGCAGTACTTTGTCTTAAGTAATATTTTCATATACTTTCTCCCCCACTGGCTAAAATGGACCTGAATTGAGCTGGACCTGCAGTGAACTAGACCTGAAGTGAACTGGACTGTAATTACTATCTGGTATTTTATTTAATATTTTCTGGTACTTTTAATATTAGAAAGGTTCTACAGATATCCCTCAGTTTATAAAAGTTTTGTTCCTGAGAAACCTTTAGTAAATCACATCAATTTTTCCATAGACTCCCATTATAAAAGCCAAGATACTTTTCTGCGATGAAAATACTTCCCCCAAATGATGTACTGTACACAATGATTATAAGCCACTATAGGAGGAGCTCTACTGATGAATGAGTTATGTTCTGGAGGTTTGTTTGTGAGTCCAACTTTACTCTTGTAGATGTACAGTACAGTGGCCTGTAAGTTCACCTTTGAAGCTCCAATTTGTTTTCTTAAAACTAAGAGTCGTCTTATACAACGGGTATACAATGTCGATCTCTAAATACACTCCACCGCTAGCACCAGATTTTCACTTTGCTGTACCGGCAGGTCTCGGTCACATAATTTCCAGCACTCGTAAATAAGTTTTACCTAACTGTAGCATTTTTCCAGAAGAGTAAATGTTACTGAACTCTGCTTAAGTTTAGTGTTTACACTAGTCACATTATGGGTGTCCCTACACACACCGACACCTTTCAAAATATCTTTCGGTGTTAACTGCGATTTTTTACAAACAAACGTTACTGGGGCAATAACTTGTAATATTTGTTGTTAAATTAAAAAAAAAAATGCCGTTATTGTATATTGATATAATGCTCCAGCATATTTATAAATGTTTACATGAATGTGGTGTAAAGTTGTTAACAAGACAGGCACCTGGGAACAGCTGGCTGGGCTGCAGCAGCTCGGTCAGTGAATGTCACTAGATTTATCGGCAAAGTTGCTAAATACAAAAAAATCTGGAGAAATACCATTACATATAAGACGTTATCTAACACGAGAATTGTCAACAATGGCTTTGATAAATGCAAAAAAAACTGTCACAGGTGGCATTAAAGGTAGACGGCATAAACAACGCTAAACTGGCAACTAGGAGGTCAACATATGAATGACCACTATCTCTGTTGTACAGTAGTCAGTATACTGCACATTATGTTCACACAGACTCAAGTGCTAAGTACCATAGAATGTTGATGCACAACTGGCACATAATTAATGGTCACTTTCCTATCTGTATACAACTGTTAGTACAGTGTATTTCCATATAGATATTCAGTGAAAAAATAATTGATGGGTCTTATCCCACAAAGGGTGGGTTAAGACAATATGAAACTCATCTTAATTGTGAAGTTACAGATTATAAGGATCATCAGTTCATTTTCCTTCAGAATTATCAGTGAAAATTATTTTTGGATCACCTCTCTGGCTTATTTAACCTTAAGATTAACCACCCTAACGTTACCTAACTTACTTAGTGTTCAGGTGCTTAATCATCAGGTGATATTAATTGGGGGCTATCTTCATGTGATCTTTGGTTTCTCTATCAAGCTCCTCAGATCAGCCATCACACCGGACCAGGACCTGTACGAGAGAAGGAATACTGTGGTCTACCTTGCAGTATGTTATTGAGTTAGTTACTTTACAGTAGAAGTAAGTGGCCACACCAGTACTTAACAGATTATTTAACTATTGAGTTTTGCGTTGCTGTGTTATTTCTGAACCTTCTATAGATTTGTAAACTGATTCAATGACTTTAGACGTGTTTATGATTTGCTTTCAACAGCTAAACTGTGTTGGGTTGTGTGGAAGTGAGACAATGACTTAGCACTATGCTGAAGGTGTTTAAAAGTGAGAAAGTGACTTATAGTGAAGTTTGTAGAAGTGAGGATATTAGTTTAAAAAATTGTGTATGGGAGAAAATGACTAATTACCTTCATGAGATTTAGAGTATAGTTTAATTTTTATACAAGAAGTTGGAGGTCAATACTGTAGGCGTAATATTTTTTAGGGATTAAAATTCTTCCTTTTCCGTGGATCATTTACAGTGAAAGGTACAGTGCAGAGTGAGAGAAGGCTGGTTGTATATTATGGTTGAGAGAGGAAAGGCTGTACTGTACTAAGTTAATGGATAGGGAAGACTGCCGGACGTATGACTGACGAGTATTACAGTAAAGGAGGGAAGCTGTTGAGTGTATGACTGAAGATAATACAGTACTGAAGTTGTATGAGCAAGAGAAAAGGCTGGTGATGTGAATTAAAACTGTGCTGAAATAATGTATAATTGAGGGAAACTTGACTAGAATGTAAGATTTACTGTACTGAAGCAGATAAAGAGTGAGGGAGGACTGTAGACTAGACTGAAGTTTTATACATGAAGTGAAGGATTTAGGCCACTTAATCTTGCACTGATTTCTTTCTTTTCTTTTCGTTTCTTCCACACATCCAAGTTAGTTTTATTTCATCAGAGCTAACTATAAAGAGAAGTCATCTATTAACTTGTGCTGACCCCAATTGCTTGATATCAACTGCAGCTGACCCCAACATGAAGGACATTTCATCTATCAACTGGAATCAACTGCATCTGAACCCCTTTCCCCTACCCCTTTAGAGCGGGGGTCAGAAGTCTCTTCTGGGAAGTACCTTACTCTTGGAGCATTATAACTCTGGGTTTATGGCTCGGACATTTCTGTATCTGGGATAAGGAGCTTCCTGGAGGAGGCGACTGGCCCTAGGAGCAGCAATTGCTGTATCTAGGTGTCAGCGTTAGGCTGCTTAGGTTCCCTTTTAAGATCTTCAGCATGTAGCCTCTTCTGGCAAGGATACATAATCCTAGGACAAGGAGAGAGCGGTCCTGAAGAAGATTGGTACCCATTTTTTTTTTTTTATCCGAGCTGTGTCAGGGCTTCTTCCTAGAGGTGATTGGCTTGACCGGCGGCTGCTTGTTTGTCCAGTGGTTCCAGGAGTCAGGATCCTTGGGGGAGAACCTTGGCCCTCGGACCTGGTGTGAGCCAGGTTCAGGGACTCCCCTTTTTTTCTCATCTTAGGCTCTGTCTAAGGTGTCCTCTCAGTTCATAGTGGCTGGGGCACTGAAAACAGTTTGCCTCACCTTATGAATCTGTGAAGGGCACCTAAGACTTCTTCCACAGGAGCTGTTTTATCTCCTGTCTTAGAAATCCATTGATTTCTAAGATCAGAGATAAAAACACACTAGTGTGAAAGAAGTCTTAGGTGTTCTTCACTGATTCATAAGGTGAGATGAACTGTTTTCAGTGCCCCAGTCACTAGGAACCTAGGGAGGTCACCCTAAGGCCAAGCCTAATTCCAAGATGAGGGACTATGTCCCTCAGCCTTAGGGGGAGGGGAGAATCCCCCCTCCTCCTTGGAGAGGGGAGGGGGAGAAACCCCCCCTCCCCCTTGGAGAGGGGAGGGGGAGAAACCCCCCCTCCCCCTTGGAGAGGGGAGGGGGAGAAACCCCCCCTCCCCCTTGGAGAGGGGAGGGGGAGAAACCCCCCCCCTCCCCCTCCTCTGTAATCATAGAATGTACTGGAAGTATAAATAAAAGTTATATTGAAATTTTAAAGTTTTATTTAAAAACCACTTTACAAAATAGTTTGTGGGGGGAGTCCTCCTCCCCCCCCTTCCAGGGAGAGGGGGTCCTCCCCCTCCCCTCTCCAAGGAGGAGTGGAGTCCTCCTCCCCCCCCCTTTCAGGGAGAGGGGGTCCTCCCCTCCCCCCCTTCCAGGGAGAGGGGGTCCTCCCCTCCCCTCCCTTCCAGGGAGAGGGGGTCCTCCTCCTCCCCCCCCTTCCAGGGGGTGGGGAGTCCTCCCCCCCCCAATCCCCTAAGGCTGAGGGACATAGTCCCTCATCTTGGAATTAGGCTTGGCCTTTGGGTGACCTCCCTAGGTTCCTAGTGACTGGGGCACTGAACACAGTTCATCTCACCTTATGAATCAGTGAAGAACACCTAAGACTTCTTTCACACTAGTGTGTTTTTATCTCTGATCTTAGAAATCAATGGATTTCTAAGACAGGAGATAAAACAGCTCCTGTGAAAGAAGTCTTAGGTGCCCTTCACAGATTCATAAGGTGAGGCAAACTGTTTTCAGTGCCCCAGCCACTATGAACTGAGAGGACACCTTAGACAGAGCCTAAGATGAGAAAAAAAGGGGAGTCCCTGAACCTGGCTCACGCCAGATCCGAGGGCCAAGGTTCTCCCCCAAGAGGATCCTGACTCCTGGAACCACTGGACAAACAAGCATGCTGGTCCAAAAGCCAATCACCTCTAGGAAGAAGCCCCCTGACCCCAGCTCAAAAGGATAAAAAAAATGGTACCAATCTGCTTCAGGACCGGCTCTCCTTGTCCTAGGATTCAGTGTATCCTTGAAGAGGCTCGCCTGAAGATCCTTAAAAAAAAAGGGAACCTAAGCAGCCTAACGCTGACACCTAGATACAGCAATTGCTGCTCCTAGGGCCAGTCGCCTCCTCCAGGAAGCTCCTTATCCCAGATACAGAAATGTCCGAGCCATAAACCCAGAGTTATAATGCTCAGAGAGTAAGGTACTTCCCAGAAGAGACTTCTGACCCCCGCTCTAAAGGGGTAGGGGAAAGGGGTTCAGATGCAGTTGATTCCAGTTGATAGATGAAATGTCCTTCATGTTGGGGTCAGCTGCAGTTGATAGATGAAACTATGGTGGGGTCAGCTGCAGTTAATAGATGACTCTCTTTATGGTTGGCTCTGATGAAATAAAACCTAACCTAGGATGTGGAAGAAACAAAAGAAAGAAAAATCCAGTGCAGATTAAGTAATACAAATCCTTCCTTCACTTGTATAAAACTTCAGTCCTCCCTCACTCTTTATCTGCTTCAGTACAGTAAATCTTACATTCTAGTCAAGTTTCCCTCAATTATACATCACCAGCCTTTTCTCTTGCTCATACAACTTCAGTACTGTATTATCTTAAGTCATACACTCAACAGCTTTCCCTCCTTTACTGTAATACTCGTCAGTCATACGTCCGGCAGTCTCCCCTATCCATTAACTTAGTACAGTACAGCCTTTCCTTTCTCAACCTTAATATACAACCAGCCTTCTCTCACTCTGTACTGTACCTTTCACTGTAAATGATCCGCGGAAAAGGAAGAATTTTAATCCCTAAAAAATATTACGCCTATAGTATTGACCTCCAACTTCTTGTATAAAAATTAAACTATACTCTAAATCTCATGAAGGTAATTAGTCATTTTCTCCCATACACAAATTTTTAAACTAATATCCTTACTTCTACAAACTTCACTATAAGTCACTTTCTCACTTTTAAACACCTTCAGCATAGTGCTAAGTCATTGTCTCACCTCCACACAACTTAACCACAGTTTTAACTGTTAGAAACCTAATCTTAAACACCGTCTAAAGTCATTAGTCAGTTTACAAATCTATAGAATGATTCAAATAACACAGCAACACCAAAACTCAACATAGTTAAATAATCTGTTAAGTACTGGTGTGGCCACTTACTTCTACTGTAAAGTAACTAACTCAATAACACACTGCAAGGTAGACCACAGTATTCCTTCTCTCGTACAGGTCCTGGTCCTGGTCTGGTGTGATGGCTGATCTGAGGAGCTTGATAGAGAAACCAAAGATCACATGAAGATAGCCCCCAATTAATATCACCTGATGATTAAGCACCTTAACACTAAGTAAGTTAGGTAAGGTTAGGGTGGTTAATCTTAAGGTTAAATAAGCCAGAGAGGTGATCCAAAAATAATTTTCACTGATAATTCTGAAGGAAAATGAACTGATGATTCTTATAATCTGTTTAACTTCACAATTAAGATGAGTTTCATATTGTCTTAACCTACCCTTTGTGGGATAAGACCCATCAATTATTTTTTCACTGAATATCTATATGGAAATACACTGTACTAACAGTTGTATACAGATAGGAAAGTGACCATTAATTATGTGCCAGTTGTGCATCAACATTCTATGGTACTTAGCACTTGAGTCTATGTGAACATAATGTGCAGTATACTGACTACTGTACAACAGAGATAGTGGTCATTCATATGTTGACCTAGTTGCCAGTTTAGCGTTGTTTATGCCGTCTACCTTTAATGCCACCTGTGACAGTTTTTTTTGCATTTATCAAAGCCATTGTTAACAATTCTCGTGTTAGATAACGTCTTATATGTAATGGTATTTCTCCAGATTTTTTTTTGTATTTAGCAACTTTGCCGATAAATCTAGTGACATTCACTGACCGAGCTGCTGCAGGCCAGCCAGTTGCTCCCAGGTGCCTGTCTTGTTAACAACTTTACACCACATTCATGTAAACATTTATAAAATCCTGGAGCATTATATCAATATACAATAACTGCATTTTTTTTTTAAATTTAACAACAAATATTCCAAGTTATTGCCCCAGTAACATTTGTTTGTAAAAAATCGCAGTTAACACCGAAAGATATTTTGAAAGGTGTCGGTGTGTGTAGGGACACCCATAATGTGACTAGTGTAAACACTAAACTTAAGCTGAGTTCAGTAACATTTACTCTTCTGGAAAAATGCTACAGTTAGGTAAAACTTATTTACGAGTGCTGGAAATTATGTGACCGAGACCTGCCGGTACAGCAAAGTGAAAATCTGGTGCTAGTGGTGGAGTGTATTTAGAGATCGACATTGTATACCCTTGTATAAGACGACTCTTAGTTTTAAGAAAACAAATTGGAGCTTCAAAGGTCAACTTACAGGCCACTGTACTGTACATCTACATGAGTAAAGTTGGACTCACAAACAAACCTCCAGAACATAACTCATTCATCAGTAGAGCTCCTCCTATAGTGGCTTATAATAATTGCGTACAGTACATCATTTGGGGGAAGTATTTTCATCGCAGAAAAGTATCTTGGCTTTTATAATGGGAGTCTATGGAAGTATTGATGTGATTTACTAAAGGTTTCTCAGGAACAAAACTTTTATAAACTGAGGGATATCTGTAGAACCTTTCTAATATTAAAAGTACCAGAAAATATTAAGTAAAATACCAGATAGTAATTACGGTCCAGTTCACTTCAGGTCTAGTTCACTGCAGGTCCAGCTCAATTCAGGTCCATTTTAGCCAGTGGGGGAGAAAGTATATGAAAATATTACTTAAGACAAAGTACTGCACTGTTACTATGTAAAAATTAAAACTTGTAGAAAGTACAGGGAGTCCCCGCCGATATGAACGGTGTTAAACATGAAATTTACAATATATCATCAAATGATATTTTTTACTTTCATTTACTGTATTGTCAATCTATTTCTCTTTTGTCTTAAATTAATTGATTTTAGATGTATATAAGGACTTAGGCTGTGATATAGTGTGATTTTAAACATTGTTCTGTAAGTATGGTATGCTCATGGCGCGTGTTCCTACTTAAGTACAAATCCGAAAAAGAATGTCATAAGGAACGGAACCTGTTCGTAAATTGGGGGCCCCCTGTAATCTTCTTCAAAACTACTTTAATAATAATAATTTAATTAACTGAAGTGAAACAAAAACTAGAAAGGTGAAGAAAAAAAAAAGTAGTACTAGTAAAAGTGCACCAAGGCTATACAGTCTACTGTAGGTACACAAAATGAGCACTTCTAGGCATGCAAGACTATATAGCCTACAGTACTGTACATTAATTTACATGTACAGGTATCCTCTAACATACTGTATAGCACTAAGGGTTCTAAGTTAAAAAACATATTGAATGGTAGAACTCTTGTATTATGTTCTGGGAGGGAAAAATCAGTCAACTGGTGGGTTTTTCACCAATATAATTCTTGTAAAATAATAAATACATTCTGCAATAGTGCCAATGCACCACTGGGCTATACTGACCGTGTGACTGAGGGGAATTTGTTAAGTCAAACTGATATTTTTGTAATAATGATTGTTCATTTATTGGACATACTGTAAGTATCTTGGGGGATACCTGTACTTTATTAAAATATATGATGAGCCTATCTGTGTTAAACTGAACCCTGTAAGTTACTAACACACAGTTGCTAACTATTTTAATACCAATGCCAGATAACACTCTCTCCTCCTGTACTGTAGTCTTCAATCACTATTACATCAAGGCTTCAGTTCACCTCAAATGGTAACATAATCTGCCAAGAATCAGTAGATAAGTTTTCTTCTGTACAGGAGCCGTGATATAAGGTGCTGTGCTGTGTTGCTGCAGGACCAGACGTCTCCTCCTGTGTCAAGTACAACTTATTACAGAAATATCAAGATACACCATATGTATGGCACTTAGATAAAATACTTAACAATGGTGTGTATGTATGTATGTGACAAGTGTATTAGTGCAGAATTACAAGGAGTTAGTTAATATTTACACCTTCACAACACAAGAGCCAATGTGAACTTGGATGGTAATTTTAATGACTAACGATTTATTTATCCCATACTTTAATGGAAATAATCTTTGGATGTCCTTCCTAAATTATCTTTGGTTTAGTGGACTTACATTGTGTATTTGTAGTACATGATGAACAAATATAAACTTGTATGATGACTTTATTAAACACTAGTTGGTGCACGACCATCCCATAGGCTACCAGCACCTCTCTGCACAACTAATGCTGGTCCAAGCAAAAGGCACTTCCTAGCAAAATAACCTGATCTCTGAGCTAAGAGGTAAGGGTCATCTGAAGTTCTTTCCTCCAGAGAGAATTCTCTTCCAGTTCTCTGGTCAAAAACTTCCAGATGAGAGATTTGACAGTGAACCTGTGAGGGAGGTCACACATACCCAACGCACATGGTATTTTGAGGTAACAAGCTGTGCAGTTTTAATCAGGCTAACTACAGTCCTAGAATTAGCTTCCTGATCCATACTAAATAAATTAGGACAACTTATCCTTGACCTATAATTAAGCTAATCATTTCAGACATTACACTAACTTAGAATAATAAAGGGGGTCCCTAGACCAGATTAATACTGGTCCTAAGACCAACAGACTGCTGACCCCTGGACCAGGCTAATGGTCTCTGGATCACTCATCTCTCCATAAAGTCTCCTGGTCCCAACTGGTAATGAAAAAAATACCAAGGTTCACAATGTTAATTACTCGCCAGCTATGGGTTTCCAAGGTGAGATTTAGGTGTGTGTGTGTTATTCTGGATGTACCTAATTAGTTAAACCTCTTAAATTCCAATTCTGAGAGAAAAGTATATTTGGTCAAAAATTTTGTTTGTGTTTTCTCATGGACTGAAACTGCCTACAATACACCATTCACAGGGAGATACAGTGTACACAGTGATAGCACCAAGAGATATAGACAAGAATGGGAAAAGAAAGAACTGTAGTATAAGGAAATAATAGTTAAAATAAAAAAAATAAAAATAAAAACAACAAGTTTGGCCATCCTAAAAGGCAGTCTATTACTGCCCCAAAGAAAGATTTATTTTATTTTTCTGGGTTTCTTAAGGACTGAAAGGGTGTATAAAATCCATTAGTCATAGCACAATGCAGTGTACATAGAGATAGCACGTAAATACTGACAAATTGCAGAAGTGAACTGAAAAAAAATAAGAGAAGACAACCCTAAAGGCAACAGGGGAGGATAAAACCAGCAGAGGGCAGCTAAGTACTGTTTTTTTTCTTTATTCTTAAATAAATGTAGATCTATACACAGTCTGCACCCCCCCCCCACCCCCCAACAACAACAACCATGAGTATGATATGAGATTAATGCGGGGATAACAGATATGGATGATACAGGCCTGACTAATGCAACATTTAGGACGATGCAAGCTGCTGTAAAGCATGAAGGCTGTTGCTGGTATTGCCCTGACTGCACAGTCAAGGTGAATGAGGCAACTGCAAACCATAAGGGAACGAGTTCTCTAGGGACGAAAATAGATGAAGCTGGAGCCCTGCTGGTTGCCAAACTAGAGCAAGTTGGGAAAGAGATCCTTGCTGAGACTGAGGAAGTAGCCGATAGAATGGAGGTGGCTGTTAAGAGGAGTTATGCTGACTTATTAGCAGGGCCACGGGAGGGGGCGGAGAGTAATGCAGGATCAGAACAGGTTCTACAGCAGCTAGGGACTCTGAAGAAGTGTGTCGAAGAAATTAAAATTAACGGACCTACTGTTAGGGAAGAGGAGGAACAATAGGAACGTTTCCAGCGCAGGAACAATGTAATAGTTTTTGGAGTCCCAGAGAGCCAGGCGGAGGGAACTGTGAGTAAGGTAACACGATAAGATAGTTTCAAAATATTTGTACAGAGGTTCTGAAGATAACATCAACCCTCAGGATGTGAGGAGGCTGGGACAAAAGCAGGGGGATAAGCCTCGCCCCCTCAGGATCACAGTAGCGAGTGGGGAAGAGAAATGGCAGGTTATTTGGCAGGCAAAAAACTTAGCAAGGAGAAAGGCATTTCGGGATGTATTCATTCACCCAATCCCACGATAATGCAGAGGGAACAGCATAAGAAGCAACTGCAGGACTTGAAGCAGAAGAGGGAGGAGTACGCGGGTTACATTCAGGGGGAGGGTAGTGAAAGCAAGTGTGCCGACACAGGGCCAGGGGGGCAGCAGTGCACCCTCCACCAGCTCTACCCCCCACCCGGGAGGAGGCGCCAGCTGCAGCTTCTGAGAGCGTCACTTCTCTGACGCTTCTCCGTCATTATCTCGGGTATGTGTACGATTCTCCGCCCGCCATATTGAGTCAGTTTAGCTCAGTAAATTTTGTGAATATCAACGATCATGTTGTAACAGTGAAATCGTCATTTACCCAGTGAAAGAATTAATATAACGTAAATGTTGTCTGTCGTTGCTAGACAAAAGATTGTTTGTGATTGAGTTATTATTAACTTCTCTGACGCTTCTTCATCATTATCGCATGCACAGTGTGTGTGTTAGCTGAATACCCAGCAGCTACCGGGGATCGGTAACTGCATACCAGCTGGCTGTATTGGACTATGTCGTTAATTCGGCAGGATTAAACTGTGCGGGTCCGCACCCTGGTTACTAGGCCCAAACTCCCTCACTGTGTGTCGGACTGCAACCGACCTTAACAGCGTTCTTCGTTTGTTGTTACACCATGGGGCACTCCTTACAGTTATATAGGCCAAAGTATTATTATTATATCTACGATTGGGGATTGACTAGCACAAATATAGTTATCCCAGGTTAAGTATTGAACCCATGAATGTTGGTGTTATCAGTGGTACTGTTGTTATCAGAGTTGAGTCCACCAACCAGGTGTGCTACCACTGAATGCTAGTTAAAGTGTCATGATGTTCATTCCGAACTAACAAGATGTGTTTGATACTATCTTAATTTTGGATTTTGTCGAGGGTGTTATGTAATCATATGTATTGACAATTTCGTCATATCATGAGTGTTTAATGATGTAATAAGTAATTGAAGATCTATTTTATGAATGGTAAAGTACGACTTAAGTGCTCCAGTCTAATCTGAGTGAACTTAATTAACATCTGTCCAACAGGATGCAGTATGTCTGCTATAATAACCACCAATCTGAATCCTCGCCAATCTTGTATGGAGTCCCCCAAAGTTCCATTCTCGGTCCAGTACTGTTTTTGTTGTACATAAACGACATAGTCCACGCCAGCTCACTCATAAAATACAACTTATTTGCAGACGATAGTAATCTCTATGCCAGCAACTCAGACCTCCATTCCTTGATGAGAACTATGAACACTGAATAAACTAAAGTCGAGACCTGGGTAATACGTAATAAACTGACCTTAAACTTTGAGAAAACCCACTACACGATCTTTCACAGAAGGAAAACTTACCCCCAGACCTGGACCCCCTGTACCTTGGTAATATAGTCCTCAAACGTGAACAAAATACTAGACTCCTGGGAGTTATTGTTGATGAGAAACTTAGCTGGAGAAACCACATACAAGCCATTCACAGTAAAATCAATAAACAGTGCTGTATCAAGTATCACACTCGACAGTCGCTCACTCTCACAGCAATGAAAGAAATCTATCATGATCATGTTTACCAACACCTGATACACTGTCACACACTATGGGGGCCCTCTAGCTCTTCAAAAACACAATCTCTGGTTACTTGACAAAAGAGAGTTGTATGGACAATGTCCTACTTGAAAAAAACCCATCACAAACGAAAAATTTACTACATTGAAAATTTTTAATTTGAAGATATTAACACCTACTGCTGTGCCCTCTTTGTTTACAAATCTATCAATTCACTTGCTTGACAACAATTATTTCCAGTTCCAGAATAATCAGAGATACAACTTAAGGCACCCAGAGCTACTGTACTAAGACCACCCCCATGCACTCCTCTCAGTCCCAGACCTCCATAAAATATCATGGTGTGAAGGTGTGGAACAACTTACCCCCACCCATCCGAGCAAAGACTACGCTCCCTTCCTTTAAATCATCTCTTAAAAAATACCTATTATCGAAGTATTAATATTTCTTGTAACACCTATTATATTTACAGTACCTGCTTTCATTGTACCATCAAAACCGTTTTATCGGAAATTATCATGTAAATAAATAAGTAATTACCATTGCAATAAACATATTTGCCAACTAGAGATAATCCTGACAGCTCTGTCCTCTTGTTCAACCTTATTACTGTACAACCCATGTTGTACTGCTCCCCCATTATATTTATGTTTTTCAATTCCACTGTAATTTATATATATATATATATATATATATATATATATATATATATATATATATATATATATATATATATATATATATATATATATATATATATATATATATATAAACAAAACAATACATAAATAAATGAATAAATATTAATGTGATAACCGTGGTAACATTATGAGATGTTCTTATTACCACCATGCTATTGTAGTAATCCAGATGATACTAAATGTTACATAATACTTCCTTGAGATAAATGTATAGTACCGTATATACTCGTGTGTAGTTCGAGTGTTTAAGACCAAATTTTTAGGCAAAAAATTGGGGGTCGACCTTTACATGGGTAATAGTTTTGTTAGGTTGAATCCGTGCATGATGGGATGGGCGTGGATTAACTTTTAGCTTCAGACATGAAAAATATTTACCATTTACTGCCAGTAAACAATGGAAACGTAAAATATGTACCAATTATTAATGAAAAGCTGTGCAGTGCCTTCAGCAGATGAAGCTCACCAACTTACAATAGGCTACAACGTGCTTTCAGTAGTCTATGTTGAAGTTCTTAGTACAGGCTAACTTATCATATCATATACGGTATCACAGTACTCATCGATCTACAAAAAATATCGGTATTAAAAACCTTATTG